TGCCTCGGAGACGAGGCAGGGAGGGGTGACCAAGGCGGTGGTGCCAGAGGAGAGTCCGGTGGGATAGGAGACGACACGAGCAGGGAGCAAACTCAGGACCAGTCCTGGACGCTGCAGCAAACACCTGACCCGACGCAGCTACCTGACCAGACTCAGCGACCGGAGGAGACTCAGTAGTCAGTGTGTACAGGCTCGACCCCGGCTGACGGGTAAACGTGGCCAAGTGTCGGCCCGTCCGAGCACAAGTACAGTGGGTCACCCGCTGACTCGCAGGAGTGAACTGGTCAACCCCCCCATCCTGTAGATCAGCACCACTCACCAAGTTCGTGGAGAACGAGGGGAGGTAGAGACCTGACAGGGTGCCAGAGGGGGGCGCCGGACACGGTAAGACAGTGGAGAAGTGGGCAAGGACAGGACCCCCAGAGGGGTCCGCCAGGGAGACCGCAACCGGCCGACTAAGCGGCGTAAGCGTGGTGCGGTCTCGGAAGAAAGAGCGGGAAGCACCCGAGTCAAGGGTGAAAGTGTGCAAGGCCTGAGCCGACGTGGTACCTGAGAGAGCAGACTCACCAGCACCTGGGGTAGTAGACGTACTAGCACCTAGAGCAGCAGCCTCACCAGCACCTAGAGCAGCAGCCTCAATGCCCGGGTCAGGCGGAACACACAGGTAACAGTCACCCTCATCACTAGTAGACACAACATACATGGCAGCAAGAATAGCATCATAGTCTACATCAAAGATAGCAACCCCCGACCTAAGCAGCTCGCCCCAGCGGGGGATCTCAGTGGCGTCAGGGAACTGGAGACGCCAAGCGTCCGTCAGGCGGCCGAAGCAGCGCTGGGTGGTGTGCGGGCCACCGCACGGCTCACCAGTGCGGTCGCCGGTACGCAGGACGTAGGCACAAAGACCAGCACCCCCACCCCGCTGACGCGCAGCGTACCACTCACGAAGCTACTGGGGGGGCGGGGTCTCACGAGCGCGCTGCTGCTGCTGGCGCTGACCACCACCGAAGCCGCCCCGCTGCGCAGAGCCACCCCGACCAGCTCCACCTCCACCGCCGCCACCTCCGCCACCGCCGCCACCGCCACCGCCTCCGCTCCCACCGCCACCGCCACCGCCGCCGCCGCCTCCGCCTCCACCGCCGCCACCGAAGCCCCCACCCCAGCCACCACTCCCACCGCCACCCCCACTCCCTCCGCCGCCTCCACCGCCACCTCCACCACCCCCGCCAGCCCCTCCAGCGCCCTTGCCCCCTTTGCCCTTGCCGGTGCGGCGTCTCCCGCTAGGGGCAGACGCAGCGCCGACCGACTCGGTGCCAACTAAGTCGACGGCAGCAGCAGAGGCAACAGAGGGCAAAAGGGGGGAGGGGGAGCACCCCTCAAAGAAGGGGGCACGAGGGTCACCACGAGAGGCTCCTACAGCGACTATACTCTTCTCTGCTGCCAGGAGGCGCTCCTCGAGGAGGTCAACGGTGAGTGTGGTGGGGCAAACCGAGAGGAAGTGGTCCCTGACTGAGCGAAGGGAGTCAGGGAGCCGGGTGACTAGGTAGTAGAGGGTGATGTACATGGGGGGGGGGGTTCTTGGCGCAGAACTCAGCAGGAAGCGCAGCGCGGTAGCGGGCGTCACTAGTGCGAAGATGCGTAATGAGGTCAGCGACTGTGGGAAAGGCGGCTAGGTCAAAGAACAGGTACGGCAGCATGAGGCGGCTAAGAGCAGCAGTGGCAGGGGAAGAGTAGCGTGCAATGACAGCGTCGTACAGAGTCTTAGCACTCTTGTACTGACTAAAGTGCACGCGCTCAGAGGACGGCAAGTGACTGCGCACAGCAAGACGGGCAGCAGCATCGCGTGTGGCCCACTGGGAGCGAACAGTGCTGTCAGCATCGGCAGCAGGGGCAGTAGAGGCGCCAGACGTGAGATCGAACAGGGAGAGACCGTCTTTCGTATCGCACTGTAGGAAAAGCAGCAGATCATCGACCCAGACCTCAAAGTCAACAGCCCGACCCTCAGCATCAAAGACGAGGACGCTAGGGGTAGCCATGACAGCAGTGGCAGCAGTAGCAGCAGTGGCAGCAGGGGCAGCAGTGGCAGCAGTAGCAGCGCAGCGCGGCGATGCTCTTACCAGGGCAGAGGGCCGCAAGTGGTGGGGCAGGGCCGAGGCGCACCGGCAGGGACGGGCCGAGGCGCGCAGGTAGGTTCGAGGCGCGCCGGTAGGGGCGGGCCGAGGCGCGCTGGCGGCTGCAGTCAGCGGCGGCGGCGGCTGCGGCTCCGGCTGAGGTGGCGGCGGCTGCTGCTGGTGGCGGCTGCGGTGGCTGCGGCTGCTGCTGCCCCGGGAGTGAAGGCGGCGGCCGCTGCTGCCGGCGGCTCCGGCGGTGGCGGCTTCCGCTGTAGGGGCGGCGGCGGCTGCTGCTGCAGGGGCGGCGACGGTGGGCCGCGAAGGGCGGCTACGGGGCCGTGAAGGGCGGCGACGGGGCCGTGACAGGGCCGTGAGGGGCCGCAAAGGGCGGCGACGGGGCCGAGACGGGGCCGTGGAGGGGCCGCGAGGGGCCGCGAAGGGCAGCGACGGGACCGTGAAGGGCAGCGACGGGCCACGAAGGGGCCGCGAGGGGCCGCGAAGGGCGGCGCAAGGGGCCGTAAGGGGCCGCGAAGGGCGGCTCGAGGGGCCGTAAGGGGCCGCGAGGTGCTGTAAGGGGCCGCGAAGGGCCGTGAGAGGGGCCGCTAAGGGCGGCGCGAAGGGGCCGCGAGGGGCCGTGAGAGGGACCGCGAGGGGCCTTAAGAGGGCGCGACGGGCCGCTAAGGGCTAGGGACGCGACGGGAGGGAAGGCACACGGGGCGCGACTCGGGCAGGAGCGAAGCGCGCTCCGGGCAGGAAAAAAAAAATCGTGGTGGGCCCTAGGAAGCGTTCCCACTAGGGAACCTGCTCTATACCATGTTAAGAAACGAGGAATGATTTGACTAAGGAATGAGTGTGATACAAATGTGAAACCTTAGAATATTGTACCCCTTAGTGTCTACCCCACTATAGCCTACAGTGACAAAGTAATATAAATCTGACATTATCCGTTTTAGAATTGGGTGTGCTAATCATGCAAAGTTCATGCTTGTGTTTGTTTTATGGGTTACAAAAACTAGCACTGTACGTGCTAAGCGAATACCCCTATAGCGGTACTGTGGGATGTACACGGTCATTCGGTTTCTGACACGTGTAACAGGTCGCAGAGACTGCTCTATTTCCATGTTGCGGAGGGAACCATGCGGATGGGATAGTTATACGTGGCAGCCTGTCATGAACCTGTCAGAGGACACCTTTTTTTTTTTAGGGGCTGCCCGTCACCATTTCGTACGAGGTCGAGGCAAAGTCTTACTACGCCTGGCGTTTGTAGCAAAGCCTTTCCGAGCACAACCAATTCTACCAGCGAAGCAGAAGTTGTTATCAGGGTGGGTGCACCAAAGCTCAAGGTCATTCTCGCCATTCCAATAAGAGTCTTGGTTCCACAACTAGCCTCCTCACAAGCTTCCCTCTCATTCTAGTGTCGGCCTCAAATCCTCCAGGCGGACAGTGTATGGTACTAACCGTATAGCTACCTGCCATCTTCTGGCTTACTTACGCGATGTCGTCCCATTTAATCACAGATGGCTGCGGATTGTCTGTACGACTAGGGCGGGAGTCTTATGAAATGTTAATCGCTCGTCAGGAAGAGTGGAACAAGGCGTTGTTACTTTTCGGCCTTGTGTATGTATCCAAGCGCGGTTTGTAACGCATACCGACTTCATCGGCACGTTAAACCCTTGTATTTTTATACAGCACCTGCTATCTTCTTACCTCTGCGACATGTCGGCTTGGATGCAGGGAGGTTGCCAAGGACAAGATTGGGGATCCTCGCGTTCGCAGGGACATAAAGATTCTGGCTCCTACCGAGCATCCGCGTTTGAGGTCTGCCGTCCCGCGTGTCCCCAGTTGTGGCAGCGAACATCGGTCGCTGTTGGACTACCAGATGGTTTTAATACCCATGATATCAGCGTGAGTTTCTTGACATGGATCCGCAACGTCTGTCGATGACACCAGCTTATCTTGCTAATCCAAACTTTGATGTACCGCAGAGTCCCTGTTGTTGACTCGACGGCGATCAGTCTCATGGTGCTGATGAACCCGCAAGATTTGTTAGCACATCCCCGCGGAGAGTACCGTACGCGTGTGCTTTCGACCCTAAATCTCCAATCCCAACCCATCGCCACAGCGACCATGCCAAGGAGGTGTTCGAGTAAGTGTCACTCCTTAATCAGATGTGCGGTTTGTATGGACGCATGTTATTGATTATTTGCGACCCCCTTGCCCTGCAGCTGGCTTATTCGACAACTAGATGTGGAATACAGCCGAGGTCGCAGGGTCTCTGGCAGCCACGCCGAAGCGGTGCAGAAAGATTTGAGGGATCGCCTAGAGGAACTGATTCTGGAGGAAGGCAGGGTAAGGAGCCTCTATTTTTAGATTTAAGCGTTGTATGATATTAAGCTTGTAAAATGTTACGGGAGTGTCTGACAACCACCTGTTCACGCACATGTCGCAGATCAACAAGGTTCAGGGACAGAGGCAAGTGGGTTCCGGGCTGCACGTTAACCATCTGTTCAGCAAGTTGCTGGACAAATGGGGGGATGTCATGGCGATTCAAACTGCAGAGCCGATGATCCCCTTAGGGAAGGGGAAAAACAGCGCGAAAGAAATTCGGAGTATGCTGGAGTCGACCTGCAGGGCCTTCTTCGACCTGCAAGGAGTCCAGCTCCGTCCCGCCCCGGATGCAGTCATGACGACCCATGAGGCTCGAGTGGTGGAGAGCGCACCGGAACGGTCCGGGAATACCATGGAGCCGGCGGCACAGAACAGATCCGAAGCGGTAGAGAGATAGAGAGACGTACCTGCCGCAAACCGGGACGCAAATCCAAGAGTGGAGGAAATTTCATATTCCCGGCGACCTGCACCGGGGGGTGCACTACTGAGTGGCCCGACATCATGGTCAGCACGTGCGGATGAGCGTGTTAGGTCTGGAGTTAGGCAGCTCAGGTTTGCTGATCGGGTTAGGAGGCCGCCGGAACGCGAAGCACGGACGGAGACCGTCTTGGCAAGTGTAGCAGATGAAGGCGAGGAGGGTGTAGAAGATCCACAGCCGCCAAGTCAGGTCGAACAGGCAGAGGAGCAGTGGAGGAAGGCGGCTGATGGTAAGCGGATGGCCGAAGCAGAAGCCAAGAGGAGACGAGCTGAAGAGAGGCAACGGCGCCGTGATGGCGACCCCGATCCTATCGTCTCTTTCCCGGGAACAGGAGACATACGTCAAGCATGGGAGCGTGGGGCACGAGCCGCTGCAAGGGCACACGCGGGAGAGGCAGGAGGAGAGGAGCTCGCCAGCAATGTGCGGCAGCATATCGAGGAGGATACGGGATACGTGAAAGTTCGCTTGCCCAGCGTAAAGCGGAAGGCGGCTGAAGAGGCCCGGAGAGGGGACGTCGACGTGCCAGAGAATTCGGGAGAGGCGAAAAAGAAGGCGCAGAGCAACGCGGGTGCAAAGGCTCATAAGATGGCGGAGGTAGAGGCGCACCAGAAAGCAGAGGATGCGGCCCATCGGTTCGTCGATGCAGAAGCGGCACTTACGGCAGGGGACGGGGCGCCAAAGAAAGCAGAGGCTGCGGCGCAGCAGAAGGTGGGTGCAGAGGCGGTCAAGAGTGCGGAGGCAGTTGCGCGTAAAGAAGCGGGTGCAGCAGCAGAGCTGACGTCGGACCTTCGCATTGCGCCCAACTTTTTTGGGCGAAATTCTCTGGGCCGTTGAGATGAAACTCGATCGAACGGTCGAAACTCCAACCTTTTCACCAGTAAATCTGAGGGGTGTTCGAAAACCGAATCGAGGGGGACTTCAAAAATTTGCGCGGAACTAGTTTTACATACCCGTATCGGCGCTTTCGTCGTCACCCCCGCGGTTTTCAAAGGCCGGAACTAAGCGGTTGAAGACCTCGCGTGTAAACCCGCTCCGATTACCAAGTGTGAGGATCTGGTTCACGAAAGACAAATCTATTGAATGAATCACCTGGGTACAAGGCGAGGCTATATATAGGCTCGACACAAGGCCAGTTACCCAAGTGTTATGCGAATGTTCTAAGGGTCGCGAAGCGTCCCGAACAGAACCCTTCCGAACTTAGTAGAAAGCAATTCGGTGGAAAACGAATAGGCTTGAGTTCGGAACACGTAACCTGGTTCGGTGCTATAACTATAATAAAATGTAGGAATGCACCTAACCTAGGAAATCAAGCATATCTATGCATGATAAATAAAATCCAAGCTAGTAATAGCATAAGAAAGTCTAGGCAAGCTAGCAAAGCCAGCATAAGCAATCCGTACTGTCACAGCAGCACCTCTAGCAGCACCCCCCCAAGCAGCACCAGAGTGGACAGCTACCTCGACAGGCTCAGCCAAGGGGAGTGGGTCTACCTGAGACACACCTGAGGGAGCAGGACTCTGAGGGGGGAGGGAGTCTACCGGAGGAGGACCTGGTGCGAGGAAGAGCGGCGAGGGAGGGAGAGGGGCAGTGCGGTAGGGGAAAAGACGGTAAAAGGGAACCGACTCGTCAAACGTGACGTCCTGAGAGGGCAGGACATGGCGCGAGGTGGGGTGGAAAAAACTGCCAGCCAGGCGCGTCAGGGGGAAAGCCAAGGAAGACGCACAGAATGGCGCGAGATGAGAGCTTGTCCGTGGAGGTATCGCACACAAAGACACGAGATTCCCAGACCCGGAACACCGACGCATCGCCAACCTATCCCGTCGAATGTAGTGTAGGCGAGGTCTCCGGCAAGGAGACACGGGGCCGGAGGTTGAGCTGATGTGCTACGTAGCGGACCGCAAACGGCCACAGAAAATGGGGGGCAGTCGCATGGATCATGGAGGTACGAGCGACCTCCATGACTAAGCCAATGTGTCAAAGTTATATGACATAGTTTGTGTAGGCTGTAGTGGGGTAGTCAATATAGGGTACAACACTTCTAGGTTTTCCTACTTGCTAATTCCATCATTCCTCGCTTTTATTTTCACATGGTTTCTGAGCAGGTTCCCTAGTGGGAACGATTTTTTTTTTAGGGCCCACCACGAAATTTTTTTTTCTTACCTGCCCGAAGTGCGCTGTCGCACCTGCCCCACCTGCGCCGTCGCGCGCCCTGCCCTGCTGCTGCCCGTCGCGACCCTGCCCTGCCTTGTCGCCGCCCGTCGCAGCCTGACCCTGCCGCCCTACGTTGAGGCCCTGCCCTGCCGCCCTACGTCGCGGCCTGACCCAGCCGCCCGTCGCGGCCCTGCCCTGCTGCCCCACGTCGCGGCCCTGACCTCGCCGCCCGTTGCGGCCCTGCCCTGCCGCCACCTATCGCGGCCCTGCCCTCAGCCGCTAGTCACGGCCCTGGTGTACCGCCGCCCAGTCGCGGCCCTGACCTGCAGCCGCCCCGTCACGGCCCTACCCTGCAGCCGCCCGTCGCGTGCCTGCCCCACCCGCCACTGGTGGCACCTGCCCTATCCGCACTACCCGCGCACCTGCCCTGCCTGCTGAGCCACGCCGCCCGGCCGAGCCGCGCCGCCCGGCAAAGCCGCGCCGCCCGGCCGAGCCGCGCCGCCCAGCTGAGCTGCGCCGCCCTGCCGAGTCACGCTGCCCAGCCGAACCGCGCCGCACTGCCCTACTGAGCCGCGCTGCCCTGCCCGTGCTGCTTCTGCTGCTACTGCTACTACTGCTGCCACTGCTGCTATTGCCGCCATGGCTAGCCCTACCTTCGATGTTGAGGGTCGTGCAGTTGACTTCAATGCCTGGGTAGATGATCTACAACTGCTTCTTCAGTATGATTCTAAGGACAGAGTCTCGCTTTTTGATCTCACGTCCGGCGCATCTGCTGCGCCTGCAGCCGATGCTGACAGTACAGTACGCTCGCACTGGACTAAGCGTGACGCTGTTGCTCACCTTGTGGTTCGTAGTCACCTGCCTTCTGCTGAGTGCGCGCACTTTGGTCAGTACAAGACTGCTAAGTCTCTTTATGATGCTGTTGTAGCGCGCTACTCCTCCCCTGCCACTGCTACCCTCAGCCGCCTCATGCTACCGTACCTGTTCCCTGACCTGGCCGCCTTTGCCACAGTCGCTGACCTCATTACCCACCTCCGCACTAGTGACGCCTGCTACCGCGGTGCCCTTCCCTCCGAGTTCTGCACCAAGAACCCCCCCCCCCCCCCATGTACATCACCCTCTTCTACCTAGTCACCCGTCTCCCTGACTCCCTTTGCTCAGTCAGGGACCACTTTCTCTCCCTTTGCCCCACCGACCTCACCGTTGACCTGCTGGAGGAGCGCCTCACTGCAGCTGAGAAGAGTATAGTTGCAGTAGGGGCTTCTCGCGGCGACCCTCGCGCCCCTTTCTTTGAGGTGTGTTCCCCTGTTCCCCTTCTTCCCTCTGTTGCTTCTGCTGTTGCTGTCGACCTCGTTGGCACCGAGGAGGTCGGGGCTGCGTCTGCTCCTAGTGGGAGGCGCCGCTGCGGCAAGGGCAATGGGGGCAAGGGTGGTGGAGGGGACGGCGGGGGCGGCGGTGGTGGCGGTTTAGGAGGCAAAGGGGGTGGGGGTGGAGGCAAGGGTGGTGGCGGGGGTGGGGGTGTCAGTGGTGGCAGTGGAGGTGGTGGAGGCAGCGGCAGCGGTGGTGGAGGCAGCGGCAGCGGTGGTGGAGGCAGTGGCAGCGGAGCTAGAGGTGGCGGCAGCGGTGGTGCTGGTCGAGGTGGAGCTGCGCAGCGTGGAGGCTTCGGCAGCAACAGCGTTCCCGTGAGACCCCGTCGCCTCAGCAGCTTCATGAGTGGTACGCTGGGCGTGGGAGGTCTGGGGGTGCTGGTCCCTGCACTTACGTTCTCCGCACCGGCGGGCGCCGCGGGGAGACGTGCGGAGGGCCACACATGTCGCAGCGCTGTTTCGGTCGCCTGTCTGACGCCTGGCGCGCGCAGTTTCCTGACGCTCCTGAGCTCCCTAGCTGGGCTGATCTGCTTAGGCAGAATGTTGATATCTTTGCTCTAGACTTTGATGCTATCCTTGCTGCCATGTATGCTCTGTCTACTAGTGCTGAGGGTGACTGTTATCTGTGTGTGCCGCCCGACCCAGGTATAGTGCCTACTGCTCTAAGCGCTGGTGAGGCTGCTGCTCTAGGTGCTAGTGAGTGTGCTACTCCAGATGCTGGTGAGTCTGCTCTCTCTGGTACTGCGCCTGCTGAGGCCTTGCACATCTTCACACTTGACTCAGGTGCTTCCCGCTCCTTCTTTCGCGACAGCACCACACTCACGCCGCTCAGTCGGCCTGTTGCAGTCTCCCTGGCGGACCCCTCTAGGGGCCCCGTCCTTGCGCACTCCTCCACGGTCTTGCCGTGTCCGGCTGTCCCGTCTGGCTCACTGTCGGGTCTCCACCTCCCCTCGTTCTCTACGAACTTGGTGAGTGGAGCTGACCTCCAGGATGAGTGGGTTGACCAGTTCACCTCTGGAGGTCAGCGTGTGACCCACTGTACATGCTCCCGGACTGGTCGGCACCTGGCCACGTTCACCCGAGCACCTGGCTCGAGTCTGTACACACTGACTACTGTGTCCCCTCAGGTAGCTGCGTCTGCGTCTGCGTTTGCGTCAGGTCAGCTAGCGGCCCGCTGCTTGTGTCGCGCTTTGTCGCACCAGACCGTCCTTTGGCACCACCGTCTTGGTCACCCCTCGGTGCAGCGCCTTCGTGGCATGCACCGACGTGTTCTTGTCTCTGGTCTCCCAGGGTTCTCCCTCCCCTCCCACCCTCGCCTGCTCCTCCCTGTCTTCCCTGTGTCGAGGGGCGGCAGCGCGCCACTCCTCACTCCTCCTCATTTCCCCCGATGACTGCTCCCCTGCAGACCCTCCACATGGACGTGTGGGGCCCAGCCCGCGTTCGTGGACAGGACCGCGAGCGGTATTTTTGCTGGTCGTTGACGACTACACGCGTTACACCACGGTCTTCCCCTTGCGCACCAAGGGTGAGGTCCCTGATGTTTTGATCCCTTGGATCCGCGCTGCCCGTCTCCAGCTCCGCGAGCGGTTCGGGACGGACTTTTCCGTCCTGCGTCTGCACTCTGACAGAGGTGGTGAGTTTGCCTCTGACTTTCTACGGGACTTTTGGCAACATGTATTTTATATGTGTTGTTTAGTTTAGCCTAGGTGTTACATTCACTATTCCTAGGGTTTGCATATATCTCCTTGTACCTTGTTTCCTTAGTCTATTTCTCATGCTCGTTAGTACTTTGACATGGTATCAGAGCTAAGTGATCCGATGGGCCCACCGCCCCGTGACCCGGCCTAGCCCGTAGCGCCCTTAGACATGAAGCGCCCCGGTAGCCCCGTAGCCCGTGCGTCACCCGTTTTCAGCCCGTCGCATCACCCGTTTCTGCCCCGCGCGTCACCCGTTAGTGCCTCGCGCGACTTGCCTGCCAGCCCGCTAGCGCGCGTCAGACCCGCGCGTGCCACCCTAGACGCACGCGTAGCCGCCCGCACGTACGTCGCGACGGTTCACGAGTAGAGGAGGAGCCCGCTACCCGCGCCCGTCGTCTCACCCGTCGCTTTTTTGTGCTGAAATCGCGGCCTCACCAGGAGAGAGTAGAGTAGGAGTCGCGAGTGGAGCAGCGGGTGCAGTTGCAACTGTAGCAGGAGAGTGAAGAGGAGGAGTCACGACCACACCAGGAGAGGGTAGAGCAGGAGTCCCGCCCGCAGCAGCAGGTGCAGTTACAGACACAGCAGGAGAGAGTAGAGGAGTCACAGCCACAGTAGGAGA